GGAGGAGGAGGAGGAGGGAGGAGGAGGAGGAGGAGGAGGAGGAGGAGGAGGAAGAGGAGGATGAGGGAGGAGAGCTGGCCAGAGAGCTGGCAGCCGCCGTGGGAGAGCTTCCAGCCGCCGCGGGAGAGCTGCCTGCCGCCGCGGGAGACTCGGCCCATCTGCCAAAGGTGCTTGCAAGAGGAGGAGGATGAGGAGGAGGAGGAGGCGGGGGAGGAGGAGGAGGACGAGGAGGAGCAGGAGGAGGAGGAGAGGAGGAGGAGGAGGAGGAGGAGGAGGAGGAGGAGGAGGAGGAGGAGGAGGAGGAGGAGGAGGAGGAGGAGGAGGAGGAGGAGTTTGGGGGAGGAGGAGGAGGAGGAGGAGGAGGAGGAGGAGGAGGAGGAGGAGGAGGAGGAGGAGGAGGAGGAGGAGGCGGAGGAGGGAGGGGGAGGAGGGAGGAAAACGGGGGAGGGAGGGATGGAGGGCGGGCGGGCGGGGCGGGCGGGCGGGCGGCGGGCGGGCGGGAGGGAGGGAGGGAGCGAGGGAGGGAGGGAGGGAGGGAGGAGGAGGAGGAGGAGTAGGAGGAGGAGGAGGAGGATGGAGGAATGACCCGCAGGCCCTCATACTGGCCCGCGTCTGCTCAGATCAATTCAGAGGCGGTCCTCCTCCATCTCCTTGTTCCCTTCCTTCGGGCGGGGCCAGGACGAGGATCGGTCCGTTCCAGAGCGTTCGGAAACTCTATCAGAGCGTTCTGGAACGCTCTGAGAAGGCTGCGGCGCCCGAGACATCCTCCAGAGCTGCGGGATCTACGCAAGCGATTTTCGATTCATCTTCACCCGAATGTATCCTCGTCCTGGCTTCGTCTGATTCCTGGGCCGCCACGAAGGATGCGACAGGATGGCACGGGAGCGGGCGTGGCTGTGCCTGCGGGCCCGTTTTCTAGCCTAGTCCGAGCGAGGAAGCCGGGGCCTCGCCGAGTGAGCATAGGTCAACCAAGTCAGCCAGGATGGAACGGGATCGGGTCGGTGCGCCGTTCCGATCCAGTGTGGCGTGGTCCTGCCCCGTCCAGTCCAGCGTGGCCCAGGGCACCACGGCCAGCGCAGCTCAGCCCAGCCCCCCTGCAATCCAGTCTCGCAGGCCACCAAGCCACCCCAACCCAACCCGAAGGCCTCAATTTGCCCTCCATTTCCAGTTGGGGGGGGTCGGGGAACACTGAAAAAACACATGGAACCCGTACACCCCCCAACCTGAAATTGGGGTCTTCGGGTGTGGTTGGGGTGGTCTGGTAGGTAGTCACAAGCGCCGAAGACGAACAACAACAGCATACACTTTCCAGGTCGCGGACGTCTTGGATCTGCACCAGACCCCCCTGGCGGCGCCCCCGACGCGCTTCGCGCGGCAGGCAGGGCTGGATCACCCCCAGCGGCGCCCCCCACGCGCCGCGCTCCGCGCACCAGACAGGGAGGTCCAGCGCCGATTCGGGAACTCCGTGCGGACCTTCGAGCGTCTGTGTTCATGTATGCCGGCTCGCTCCCTCCGCCCCCTGTTTCGGCCGCACCCTCCGCGTCTTCCCCTCCTGCATGGTGGCACGATTCGCCCTAACGGCACTCCCGTTTAGGCCTTCACGCTAGCGCAGAGGACCCTTGCCTCGCCGCCGACGCAAAAAGTGTTCATGGATGCAGTTTTTACGTGTTCCACTCAACCAGCCCCCGTGTCCGCCTCAGCACCCGCCCCCCGCCTCACCACCCAGCTCCGCCCTCTGCACCTCCTAGCATGTGAAAGTTTTTTGTTTGTATTGTGTGTGTCTGTGTTTATGAAAAGAGGCTGCTTTTCCTTAGATCCCGGCAAGTCTACTTGCATAGAGGGGGCAGGGAGGGCGGGGCGCGTGGCGAGGCCTGACAAGAAATCCTGGGACTTCGCGCAAGAGGGGACTCGCTTGCGCGCCTTTTCGGCCCAGCGTTGCTTAAAAAGGCGGCGGAAGGGGGAGCCCGAGATGCCATAAGTCAACTTTCCCGAGCCTCCAGTGACACGCCCTCCCTTGAGATCTGACGTCGCGAAAAAAAGCAACGTCACGAAATATCGCGACAAGGGCCCTTTAGAACCCATCCGTCTGCGGCACTTCCCGGCCCAGATTATTCGGTGATAGCCCTGGGGCCCGAACTCGGGCGAAGGCCCTCCGTTGCTCCAAGCATCTCATACGGTGTCCGAGTAGATGGGGACGAGTCTTCACTCCGCATCGACGGTGCATCGGCGATGCGGCTCGATGTGGAGCCAGAGTTTCTCCACGCCGATGATGGCGCCCATGCATGCCGACGTCGCCAGTGCATCGTCGATGCATCGTCGCCAGCGCATTTCCGACGAGGCGCGATCCTCCGACCCCATCTGCTCCGACCCCACCCGGTGGCTTCTGTCTAGTGACACACCTGCAGCGCCTGGACCTCGGAGTCTCTGAGTGGGTCGGCCTCGGGCGGGGCTGGGACGAGGATCCATCCGTTCCAGAGCGTTCCAGAAAGCCACTTTTTTTAAGAGATTTCTCGACTCATCCTCGCCCGATGTTCTTGGCATCGCTCGGACGTGTGCATTTTTCCTTCGGCGAGGACCATCGAGGAGCATCCTTGATCATTCCGCGAAAAAAACCACGCACGAAACCAAAAAAGGCCCAGGAAATGGACGTCCGAGCGATGGCCAGTGTTGGGGAAACAAACCGAAAAGTTCCGATGCCGCTCCTCCCCAGACATCTCCCAGGGTGCGTTTTGGCCAGGACTTCGAGGCGACCCCAGCGGTGGCGACGAGGGCCTCCCAGGAGGCCAAACAGAGGACAACAGGGCAACAGTAGCTGTATGGGTACCTTTTCTTCCGAGATGTCGATGTTCAGTCGGGCCGCTGAAGAAGGAACCCTTTTCGTTGGGGAGGGGTTCAGTGTTCCTTAATTGCTTTACAGTTTGTCTGATGTTTTCCTTGGGTTTTCGATGGGCACTCGAAGTTTAATGTATGGAAGGAAGGTGCCTCGTTCCTTGTTTAGGGTTCTTCATGGCAGCGTTTCGGCGGAGAGACCCTCGATTATTTTCACTCGATGTTGGGGCAACCAAAAGGTACCGATACGCCTGCTCCCTGGAGCTGTTCCCGGACTGCGTTATGACCAGAATTTCGAGGCGAATCCAGCGGTGGCGACGAGGGCCTCCCAGGGGGCCCAAAAAGAGTAAAACCAGGCAAGGGTAGCGGTATGGGTACCTTTTTGTCGGGCGGGGGGGTGGACGAGGATAAATCCGTTCCAGAGCGTTCCAGAACGCTCTCATAGCGTTCCCAGAGCGTTCTGCAACGCTGTGAGAAGACCGCGGCGCCCTAGACATCCTCCAGAGCCGCCAGGTCGCAGAGATTCTCGTTTTACCCCCACCCGATCTTATCCTCATCGTGGCTTCGTCTTACTTTCCTCCTCCGAGATGCTCTCCCCGTCCTGGCGTTCAGTCGGGCCCGTCCCTCTACAGGGGGAACATTCAAAAATAGTCAAAACAAATTCATGGGGCGTAGTTTTGTAGTGTTGCTTTTTAGTTTCATTTTTGAGTATGTTCTAGTATTTTTTAATTCTTCGTCGAACATCCCCCTGTAGGGGGACACGCCCGACTTAGTCCTGGCGTCGTCTCAGGGTCGGCCAGCGAGCCGGAGAGCCGGCCGCGCCGGCAGCGCCCCAGCGCAGCGCTTGGCATCGCTCGGACGTGTGCATTTTTCCTGCGGCGAGGACCATCGAGGAGCATCCTGGAGCATTTCGCGAAAAAACCACGCGCGAACCCGAAATAAGCACAGGAAATGGACGTCCGAGCGATGGCCAGAGCGGCGCGCGGGCCGTCGGCGGGCGCGCCGTCGCCCGCGCGGAGGCGCCGGCGCCGGCCTCGGCCACGGTGGACCTGGAGGACCTGGAGCCGGTGCCGGAGGGCGCGGGCGGCGACGGCGGAGGCGGGGTCCCTTCGGGGGCGGCCAGAACGCCCCCTCCCCGTCAAAAATCGTGGGGGTTTGGGGTAGGGTTCGCATGTGGCCCCCTACTTTGGCCCCCCCCCGTCGCCCGTTCCCTCGCACGGGCCCGCTCCCCTCCGCGGACCTTCGGGCCGCGCGCTCCCCGAGCCCGCGGCGGCGCTCGGCTGCGCGTGCGGGGAGGTGCACGCCTCGGAGGTGGACAGAACCCCCAACATTGACACTTCGATTAGTGAGTGGTCCGTTTTCGGTTCTCGAGATGGCGCCGTGGCCGTGATCTTCCAGGCTTGCGCCCGCCAGGTCTGGGCCTCCGGTCGTTTTCACTAGACCACGTTTTACTAAAGGGGGGTCTGTCCATCCCCGGGTCCCTTCGGGGGCGGCAAAGGGGGGGGATGACCAGGGGCGGGTGGGTATCATGGCGGGGGCCACGATATCTCCCTAAACAACTAATTCTTTTTTGTTTTTCTTATAGATATGTGAATCGGTATGTGTGTATATATATATATGTGTGTGCGTGTGCGTGTGTGTGTGTGTGTGTTTGTGGCAAAGTCGCTTGCGTGACGCCTACGTTCTGGGGCGCCGCTGTTGAACACCTTTTGATAGAGTCGAGCGAAAAGTGGGAAACGGAATTCGCCTGCCCAATGGGCCACAGGCGTGCTAAGATCTCCAACAACAGGTTAACAGTATTTCTAGTTCGCGCGCGCGTGGCGGCCCCTGGGGACCCCTGGACGAAAAGTACCCCGGCCGATGCCCGGGCGATGCTTGGCTGACTCCCCCAGGGCGCTCCAGGAGCGCGCCAAGAGGGCGCCGGGACGCCCCCTACACGGCCCAAGAGGCCCCGAGTTACCGAAAGATCGCTCCAAGACGCTCAAGATGGTCTCCACATGGCCCCAGAGGCCGCGAGAAAGCCCCAAGAGAGCCTCAACAGACTCTCCAAGAGGGCCCCAACAAGGAAAATCGTCCCCTCCCGAAAAATGTACATTTTTCGCATGTGCGACGTTTGGAGTTCACAGCGCTCAGAACTGCCTCAGAGGCATCCAACATCGTCCCCAGACGGTCCAACACGCCCCCAAGATTGACCCAAGAGAGCCCAAGAGGGCCTCAATACGGCCCAGGAGGGCACCAAGACGGCCCCAAGAGGAGCCCAAGAAGGGGAACAGGAACCGAAAAGTCCCCAAGAGGCCCCCGGGAGGCTTCAGGAGGCCCCCAAGAGGCCCCCAAGAGGCCCCCAAGAGGCACCCCAAGAAGCCCCGAGAGGCCCCGAGAGGCCCCAAAAGGCCCCAGCACGGCCCCCACGATGTCCCAAAACTGCTTCCCAGAGGCCCCCGAGAAGCCAATCACGAGAACCCCACCAACATCCATGAGGCCTCTGACACGCCACCCAGGCACGGGGAACTGTTCCCACCCACCGCCTCCGAAAAATGGCAGCCGCCCAATGCCACCGCATTGACACCAACACCCCGAAAAAAAACGACAGCAGCGAGGCCACATGGGCTGGCGGAATGAGCGAAGCGATTAATAAAACAACGCCCCCAGTCGCAGGCCCAGAGATTGACACCAACACCAATATCGGCGGTGTGCATCTACCGAGGAAAGAAGATCCCGATCTCGGTGATGGTGGTAATATTCTGGCTTCCAAGGTGGCCGAAATATTGCCACCAACACCGAAATCTACGATCATCTTCCCCATGTGGAGGCGACCCCCTGTGTTGGTGTTGGTGCCCATTTCTAGGCCTCCAACTCAGCGTTTTTAAGAGTCATCATGGGCACGCTGCTTCGGATGCGGGGCGTTTTTTCAGGGTGCTCCGCGCGGAACGTATCCGTGCGGCCGTGCATCCACGGCATCGCGCCCCCGGCTCCAGACCGCGAGGGCGTGGGTCGGGCGAGGCCTGGGCAGGGATCACAGCGCTCCACGTGGAGCGCTCTCGGAGCGTTCCTGCAAGCACGCTCCGAGAAGGCCTCGGCGCCCGAGGCACTCTCCAGAACTGCCCCCCGACCTCGGAGGTCCCCGACCTGTCCCTGCTCGACCTCGCCCCCGTCCTGGCCTCGTCTTCGTGGACGTGGAGACCATCGCCGCTCGTGAAAGCACACCTTGGCATCGCTCGGACGTGTGCATTTTTCCTTCGGCGAGGGCCATCGAGGAGCATCCTCGACCATTTGGCGAAAAAGCCACGCACGAAACCGAAAAAGGCCCAGGAAATGGACGTCCGAGCGATGGCCAGCGGAGACCCTCGCCGCTCGCGAAAGCACACCGCTCCGCCCTCCCGCGCGCCGCAGGGAGCAGCAGCAGCCGCTCGCGGTCGCGGTCGGCGCGCCCTGGCTCCTCCTCCTCCTCGTCCTCGCGGTGGGCGCCCTTAGCGCCTGCGCTCGCGGCTTCGGCACGCTTCTCGGGGGCTCCCAGTCGTCGGGGGCGGAAAAGAGGGGGGTGATGGCTAGGGGGGGTGGATATCATGGCGTGGGACATGATATTTCCCCAGATCTCATGCCGCCTCTTCTTGTTTCATTACGCCCCTGGCCCCCCCGCTGGGCCGCGCACATGCCGCCGGTCATGATTTGCACCCCCGCCCCCGTAAGGTTGATAAAACCGTGTGTGTGTGTGTGTACCACCTCGGTTTTTGGTCTATTACTTCTCATTTGCTTGCTTTCCTGTTGATTATGCTTTTCGTCATCTTTAAAGAGATTGCTCAAAGTAGTGGAATGCAGAACGATTCCTGTTGTAGCAGATTTTAAATTGAGTTCTTTTGTGGGGAATTAAAAGGGAATTCTGTTCATGGTGAATTGCAAATTGTTTCCTTTTGTGGCGGATTACACAAGGATTCCTTTTGTGGAGGATTACAGAAGGATTCCTTTTGTGGAGGATTACAAAGGGATTCCCCTTGGTGGAGGAATACAATGGGATTCCTTTTGTGGAGGGTTACAAATTGATTTCCTTTGAGGGCTCTCCTGGAAGTGAACCAGGGGACCAGGGGACAAAAGAACAAAAAAAAAAAATCATTGAAAATGAAGAAAATTGCAGGTTTTCAATGATTTTCCAATGATTGGAAGCAAAAACAAATAAAAACACAGCATGTTCACAATCCGAATACAAAAATGCTGTGTTTTCATATGGTTTGGGCCTCAAAACCTTGGAAATGCTGTGTTTTTATATGTTTTTGCTTCAAAGCATTGGAAATTCATTGAAAACATGAAATTTTGTTAATTTTCAATGATTTTCTGTTTTTTTTTTGTTTTTTTTTTTCTTTTGTCCCCTGGTTCACTTCCAGGAGAGCCCTCAAAGGAAATCAATTTGTAATCCTCCACAAAAGGAGTCCCATTGTATTCCTCCATCAAGGGGAATCCTTTTGTAATCCTCCACAAAAGGAATCCTTCTGTAATCCTCCACAAAAGGAATCCTTTTGTAATCCGCCACAAAAAAGAATCATCATGTGATCCTCCACAGAAGAAGTCCTTTTTTAATTCTCCACAAAAGGAATCCTTTTGTAATCTGCCACAAAATAAAACAATGTGTAGTTCACCACCAAAGGATTCCCTTGTGTAATTCAACAACAAAAGAAATCAATTTGTAATCCGCTAATATTGTTTGTTTCGGGCCTCCGGAGGCCGGAGAATCGAGATATTAAGGCTTATTAATATCTCTGGAACGCGCTTCGGCGCTCACCCACTGGAAGTAACAGGGGTGAGGAGGAAGAGACGGCGGTGGAGGCGGAGGAGGAGGAGGAGGAGGAAGAAGGGTAAAGAGAGGATAACTTTAGTCTGGTGGGCTGTGCTTCCCACTCGATTATGCTCTGTGGAACTCATTATGACAACGCATTGCTCCCAACGCATCTCGTCATCACCATCATCATCAGCAACATCTTGAAACGCATGCTCGTCATCACCACCGTTATCAGCAGAATCTTGAAACACATACTCGTCATCATGATCGTCATCAGCAGCATATTGAAACACATGCTCGTCGTTACCATCGTCATGGGCAGCATATTATGACACATATTCGTCATCATCATCATCGTCATCAGCAGCATCTTGAAACACATGCTGGCCAGCACCATCGTCATCAGCAGCATCTTGAAACACATGCTCGTTAACACCATCGTCACCAGCAGCATCTTGAAACACATGCTCGTCATCACCATCGTCATCATCAGCGCAATGAAACACATGCTCGTCATCACCATCATCATCAGCAACATCTTGAAACACATGCTCGTCATCATCATCATCGTCATCACAAAAAACACCCACCTCTCATATAATCGTACTACAGATGGATCCACTTCCGAGGGAATCCTATTACATATGGGTCCACCTTCCATAGAATCCGATTAGGAATGGATCCACCCCTGATAAGATCCCACTACAGATGGAACCACCTTAAATATAATCTTATGACATATGGATCCGCCTCTCATAGAATCCCATTAAAGATGGGTCCACAACGAATGGCATCACATCAGAGATGGATCCACCTCGAATGGAATCCTGGTACGGATGGACCCACCTCTAATAGAATCCTTTTACAAATGAACCCACGTCTGATAGAACCCCATTACATATGCGCCCACCTCGAATACAATTCTATTAACGATGGATCCACCTCTGATAACACCAAATTAGACATGGATACACCTCTAATGGACTCCAATTACATATGGATCCACCTCTAATCGAATTCTAATAAGATGGTTCCATCCCCAATGGCATGCTATTAGAGATTGGTCCACCTCTAACAGAATCCTGTGATAAATTGATCCATCTCGAATGGGATCCTATTAAGGATGGGCCCACCTCTAGTAGTATCTGATTAGAGATGGATCTAATGGAATCCTAATGCGGATGGAACCATCTCTAACAGAACCCTATGACAGATGGACCCACCTCTAATATAATCCTATTACATATGGGTCCACCTCTGAGAGAATCCTATTAGGGATGGGTTTACCTACCTCTGATGGGGTTCTACATGACATGAATCCACTTCTAATAGAATACTATTACATATGGATCTACCTCTAATAGGATCGTAATACACACGTGTCCACCCCCAATTCAATCCTACCAGAATCCTGATACAGATGGGTCCACCTCTGATGGAATCCTATCACAGATGGATCCACATCTACTAGAATCCTGGTACAGATGGATCCATCTCTACTGGAATCCGACTACAGCTGGATCCACACTTGATGGAATCCTATGAGAGATGGGCCCATCTCAACTGAAAGTCTATTACAGATCGATCCGCTCCAAATGGAATCCTAACAGAGATGGGTCCACCTTTTAATAGAATCCTGCTACACGTGGATTCACCTCTAACAAAATCCTATTACATATGGATCCACCTCTAATGGAATATTATTAGAGGTGGGTCCACCTATAATGGGATCCGATTAGACATGGATTCACCTGTAATGGAATCCTATATGAGATGGGTCCACCTCTAGTGGGGTCCTATTAGCGATGGATCCACCTCTAAGATCATCCCATTCCAGATATGTCCATCCTAATAGAATCCGATGACATATGGATCCACCTCTCATAGAATCCTAGTAGCGATTGACCCACCATTTACACCCCCTCCCTACAGAAGGTTTTCTTTTGTGGCGGATTACGAATTGATTCCTTTTGTGGCAAAACATACAGTGATTCCTTTTGTGTCGGATTACAAATGGATCCCTTTTGTGGCGAATTGCAAATCAATTGTGTTTGTGGCGGGTTTCAAATTGATTCCTTTTGTGGCGGATTTGAAATGGATTTCTTTTGTGGCGGGTTACAAATTGATTACAAGGATGATGATGATGTTGGTGATGGCGATGCAACGCAGCAAAACGAGGTGGTACGCACACACGGTTTTATCAACTCCACCCCCCCCCCCCTCGTGGACACCCCCCTCTTGGCCGCTTCCGAAGTCGGTGTGGTGACCACCCCGCGTGGTGAGTACAGTGGAGAGCCATGCCAAGAATCTCCCTGCTTGCCTCCAGGGTGCCCAGAGTTCCCTGGGTTCGTTGGTTTTGCAATACAAAGAAAGCATCACGTTGCCACACCAAAAATCAATGGACGTCCTGGGGTCTCAGGGTTGGGTTTCTTGTGTAAGGTTTCTTGTGTACTGGCCTCCGCTGTGCGGTTTTGGGACTCGGGTCGTTTTCCGAAGACGTCCTCGGCGGCAAGACGGTGCGGCGACGGACCTCGAAAAAAACATAAAACGCCATAGAGTTGAACTGTTGGCGCTCCGCGCGGATTTCTCGGATCCGCGCTGGGGCCCCCCCCCGCCGCCCCGTCGCGCGCTCCGCGCGCCAGGGAGGGGGGTCCAGCGCGGTTCCAAGAAGCCCGCGCGGAGCGCGCGAAGTTTATGTTTAAATCGTTTTCTTCTTCTAGGACCGCACGGCGAGGTCTCCTGGGATTTCGAGATCACAGCGCGGTCCGTCACCACACGGGTTTGGGACCCCCGATAGCTCCCCCACTGGAAGTTTTGGGCCGACGACTGGGGGGGTGCACGACACGTGCTCCGAGCAGGAGGAGGAGGAGGAGGAGGAGGAGGAGGAGGAGGAGGAGGAGGACGACGACGACGGTGAACCCAGATCTGCGCCGAGCTGTTTTTCCAATCCAGGTGTGTTTCTCTTTGGTATGAGCCCGTGGAACCCGTCGCTAGGCCCGGGGCACGTGAAAACGAATCCGGGCGGAAAAACCTGGCTCCAGAGCAGGAAGGGGTCGGTCTCTCGTCGAGGGCACGAGCACCCGAGGGGCTTGTGGCGCGGCACGCGGCGCCTCCCCCCTGACCTTGCCGCTGCAAGGCACGCTGCACCCTCCCCTCCCCCATCGCTCACCCCGCGGGCGTCTGGACAGGTCCAAGACCAGGAGGAGGAGGAGGAGGAGGAGGAGGAGGAGGAGGAGGAGGAGGAGGAGGAGGAGGAGGAGGAGGAGGAGAGGGAGCAGGAGGAAGAAGAGGAGGAGGAGGAGGAGGAGGAGGAGGACCACCACCGAGGCGCGAGGCAGACATGGGCCGCTGCCCGCCCTCCGTGGCTGGGCTGGGGCCTGCAGCCACCGCCGCCCGAGGGCCCCGTGGTCGGGGCCCCGCGGATCGGGGGGCGCGGGTGTCTCTGGACGGCGTGCGCGTCGGGGCCAAAGGGGGGGATTCGGGGTGTGCGCTCTGGTGGGCCACCCCTCCCCACCGTGGCGCCCCCGCGCACCGTGGCGCCCCCGCGGCCGGCTGGGGCCGCGCACCTGAGCAAGTCGTGCAGCGCGCCTCCCCGAAGACTCCGATCTGGCCCGGCCCACGGCGGCAGCGCCGCTGGATCCCGCCAGCGGAGGTCCGCCTGCCCACCAGAGGGGGAGGCAGGAGACAGG